TCTCATTTAAAATATGGTCAGTTATAAAAAGTTGAAGTATTTGAAATATGCGACCTCATAAAACATAGTGCGTAAGTCTGTACGTCAACTCACGTGGTCCAGTTTGCCTTGCGATATTAAGTGCAAATACCACGACGATGCCTTCTTACTGCACGACCTCCAGGTTCATTGTAAGATATTACGTTAATTAGAATTCATCAACATCATCAGCCTCCAGTGGAGGGCCAGGAGCCTACGACTCTAGGAGCATAAAGGAACCCTAAGTTTGAAGGCCATAGACAACTAGTCTGACATGCGGGTTGCCTTTACTCATATGAGATATGCATATTGTATTACAAAATTAGACGTTCTTGAAAGTTCTAGAAAGCTAAATGTAGCTTTACCGTAAGAACGTCTAATTTTAGATTATAATTTGAAAATCGAATAACAAATTTTTTGATGAAATCGAACCCGGACATGTCGATGGTACATATTTAGTTCTATGTGGTGATTTTGGCGGTTTTTATACCTTCTGTCAATGAAAAAAACATTGTTATCTACAATAGCGAAAGTATTTTTAAGAAAGATACAATGTGGGCGCTGCAAAAATGTACCAAGGCTGCCAGCAACATGCCTTAGGCTATACAAGGAGGACTTATTGCGGATTAGAAGTAAATTAATCCATGTCACCGAACGATTGCGAACATCGTCATTATATGAATTAACTAGATTTATTCATTCACAGTTTTAAACTGAATGAATTTCATTCTTTAATGTAAGCTAGTAATTGGTGGAAATTTGCTCTAAATAGAATTAAATGGTTCACGAGTACATTATGCTTCTAATTCTAAAACAAATGAATAAGGCATGCTGTTGATGAGATTTTGTTTTATAAATTTGTCATATCTTGTCCACAACATCGTCGTACGTCAAAGAAGAGAAACGAAAGCCTATTTGACAGGAAAAGGGACGCTGTGAAAGGAGAGATATCTAACTGTGCGTCCAATCCTCTGTTGATTAGGCAACGCATCTGTAAATGCGAATATGGGCTGCGGAGATTTCGCTATTTTGACAATATCCAGTGGCCGCTTGGTCGCTTGTCACCTTTTACCATAAAAACATACAATCGTAGTATCTTCCTGTCTATCTTAAACTTGTTAAAATATCATTCAATAAACTTTACAATATTAAAGTATTTTTATTACGCTATCAACAATTAACTTCCGGTAATGTTTATCAAGTACAAACAGATACAAAATATTTGCTCAACCTGTCAATGTCAGCGACATTTTTTTTCAATTATGCAGATCGTAAACGAGCTGTCTGCGTTGAAAAAAATACGTTCTACTTCGGAAATTGATTTTAAAAGGTCGTTTATATGAATTTTGAGTTTCAAGGTCATATTGAAAATAATATTTTAGTGACGACACGAACTTTAGAAGCGAAAAATAGCCTCTATTACATCGAGTTTTGACTCAACGATCGACGCACAGCCTAAACTACTGGGTTTATTAAATTTTGCTGTGTAAAGGTCCAAAATTGGGGGTCCAAAGTTTGTATGGGGTAACGTTAGAGTCACTAACGAAGTTCCTTAGGTAGTGTCCTTTAATAAACAACAAAACTTGGGATAATCTTAAGTGATAATGTGTTCAATTAAATTTAATATCAAACATTTTTAAATGTTTTTTTTTTATCAGGTAAATATCCTTTTTTGACGATCTGTCCTTAGTAGATTGATTTATTACGCTACACTGTTGACAAAATTCATTACAGTTTGTTTACCTTTAAAAAAACAAAACACGATATGCAACAAAACAATACGACAGTAGACTGTATCTTTCGTAATAAATCAATTTCTTCGTTTATTGAAACAGTGCTCTATTTCTTCATGGTACCAGTTTGACTTCTCTTTAATAATATTCTTTCTAAATATATGCCACTGTTTCTGTCCTGCATTCTCAAAATATCGCTAACCAATCTTTTTTTTTTACAATACTTAGATTATTCTCCAACAATTGTCAAAATAGAAAGAATTGACAAATCTTAGAGCGTGCAATCTGAAACTAAACTATCGCACAACTGGTTAGTCTCGCTTTGATTCCTATGAGCTATTATAGAGGTCCGCACACTACTCTATTTTTGACCGACTTCCCAAAAGAAGGAGGTATTCAATTCGTCGATATATTTTTTTTTATTATTATTTTTTTTATGTGTGTTACGGCATAACTCCGCCGCTAGTGGACCGATTTGGATAATTCTTTTTTTATCCGAAAGGTAATGCTTGCAGGTGGGTCCCATTTTTTTGTTTAATTTTTGGAGTCTAAGACTACGACGTAGTTAAATAGTTTAACTCAAAATCGTGCGACGAAATTTCGGGTCATTTTTGCTTTCTTTGCTTACGTAGCCTAAACTATAAGACTTACATAAAAATGATGTATAGAAGAATTCTAGCTCATTTAATAAGCTATATAAATTTGCTAAATAAAAGACACCGACATCAAAGTAAAAATAATTGTACAATATAGACATAACAGTTACAATAAGGTAGGTTTACTATTTTCAAGGAATTATTTCGTTACTTTTTAGTGTACTGTTTTTTTGAGAATGTTTTGTTTTGTTTTTAGTGCATTTTGTTTTGTTTTTCGTGTATTTTGTTTGGAAGTCGGTTTTGTTTTTTTATTAAAAAGTTTTTAGTTGGGCAAGTGCAACTAAACATTTGAATTAGCTGCGATACAATCATCAATCGCACAACAGTTTTGCGATAGTTTTCCGCGACCCGATAAATATAGCCTATGTTTTGTCAGTACCAAATTTCATCAAGATCTGTTCAACCGTTTTAGATATACGAACAAAAATGCATCGAAATTTCGCATTTACAATATTAGTCTGAAGTTGGATATAGTCATAAGAAAATCCACGACATTCGAGGCACGTTTCGAATAAATTTTGTGTAATAAATATGTAGTACCTTTGCTCTAAAATTAATAGAAAATTAATCAAATATGCATTTGTACCGATAATCAAGTGTCAATCTAATATTCCGGACGCGTATGACCGGAAGGCTTAACTTGGTTAACCTTGTTGACATTTTCTCACGATCTAATAAAATTATGAACTTCAAATAACTATGATTTTGAGACACTTCGTTGCAACATATTTTGTAAATGATCGCCGTTTACATTACTAGTTTTAGTCCGCGACTACGTCTGCGTGGATAAAAAGTAAGTAGCTTATGTTCTCTTCCAGAGTATGCTCTATATCTATGAAAAATATCATCCAAATCCGTTCAGTAGTCTAGTCTACAAACAATAATAAACAACCATCAATTCGTCTATCCAAACCTTTGCATTTACGAATATAATATTAGTAAGATTTGTAAGTTTAAATCCTCTTCTCCACAAAAGGCCTGAAACCTTCAGTTTTCATGTTTGTCGCCTAATTAAAGTTATTCGTTAATTAATTTACAATGTAAGGAAGTGGACATCGATAACACCAACCTTTACAAACAGGATTTTAAAATATGTGTTGCATAAAAAACACATAAAACGAAACGAGTTTTTTTTTCCGAAATTCTAGTTCCTTGTTTTTTATTTTACAATTTGAAATCGAGATGAAATTTCCTTTATTTATCGAAACCCGGAAGTAAATATTATTTTATAAAAAATACACTGACAATCTTTTGTTTAAAACAAAGATTCATCGGTTTTTAAGCTGTATTTTTATCCACGAAACTTTCATAGACTCTTCTCTCTCTCTCTCTCTCTCTCTTTTATCCAGTATTATAAAACAGAGATGGTTATATCTCTTTGTAAATGGTGGCTCACAGTTAAATCATCATCAACTTGCCCTTGTCCCTACAGAAGGTGGCACTGCGCTGCTCTTCCAGTCTCTATCAGTCGTTATATCTGATTCCACACTCTTCTAAAGCATATCCTCTTCCGATCCACCCACACTTCCTTCTTCCTCTATCTTTGTAACTCACATTCAGTCTTAACACTTTCTTGTTTATGTCATCATCTCGTACAGGTCGATGACAAGCTGACCGCTTGCTTCTCAGATCATAAATCAATATATGATTTAGTACTGAGAAAGTAATATTTTTATTACAATATATTGTCTCTATAAATATTTTTGTCTTCTACAACATTGTTACTGAACCATGTTTATATTTTAATCTATTGTTTCTAATATTAAACAAACATTTCGAAGAATAGAACATCTACTCTTCAACTACAATGAATAAAAAGAAAACTCTTTTGTATTGGAAAGTGGTCTTCTCAAGACTATGTTTATTTTTGTGATGTATTCTAATTTTTCCTCAAACTCAAACTTTGTTTTGCTATACACGGACTAGAGTTTTCTGTCCCACAGACTGCTAAGTATCCGTGTATAGCAGATCTTAGTAATGAAGCCAAAGATGTTTATATGATGTTAATCTCTCAAAATTTTCGTCAGTGTACATTACACAATGGAACTGCGTATTATTATAACTGATTAAGACAATTCATGTGAAAACACTTCTGATTGTTGAATGTTTTCATGAATTCGACACATATGTTATTGCTAGCTTGAACTTCGCCGTTTAGCCATAAGGCGGCTTAGGGTGAAGACATATTGGAAATGTCCGAAAATTACTGCAACTTAAACGTAACTTGTATCACGAAATTTTACTGGAAATTGTCTGCAAATAATGCTACAGCAACAATGGTATTTCAATAAAAAAAACTAAGTGATTAGCAACTTAAGATAGTAAGCAAAAATTAAAGCAACATGGCTTAGATATTAACCAACTAAATATAGTTAAAAACATTCAATATGATTAATAGACAAAGCCATACAATAATTTATAGAAATATATATTGAATTCGCTTGTGAAAGACAACATCCAACGTGTAAGACCTAAGATCAATGTTACAATTAACAATGCTATTGTAAACGCATCCTTATCATAAACAAAAACCATTACACGACTTCATACGTAACTTCAGTATCAATTCGTATGGCATAATCGCTTCGTCAGTTTCCGGAACCGCATTGATTTAAGAAAACGATCGCGTGCTCAATGAACCTCATGTTATAAAAAAAGTGAAAATTCATATTAACAATGCTAAAATACAATAGGTTACTTAGATTTAAAAAATAAATTATATTATAGATTTTTAAATATGTAAAATTACCAATTTTAATTAGTACATTTGCAATTTTATACTAAAATAATGATGTTTCGTGAAACATTTTTATTTCTACTTAGTTTGGTGCATGGAAGTCAAAGTCTGAATGTAAAGCAAAAGACAGAATGTGGGTATAAGGTAAGTGGACATCATAATCTATGGTCAACGACTTTTTACTTTAAAATTTTTGGTGTTCTGATGGAAATAGGCTTGCTCCTGTCGTTCAAAAACCTTTACCGTCTTCTTCAAACAGTGATAAGCTTTTGACACTCTACTATCTAGTATCAAGTTGAAAGCTGGCTTTAATTGAATTACACACTTACTTTTTATGGCTGTGACATTTTTCTATTGTCAGCTACAGTTAAAGGCAGGTTTTAACGTTTGAAAGCAATAACTGTCCTATATTAAGTGAGGAGTACCCCAGGGAACTAAATTAGGCCCCATCTGTTTCTTGACCATTCACATATTTCATTGATACCTTGTGTTAGTTACGCACACTCTAGAACACTCATATATGGTGGGATGTAAAAAATAGTATTGAACTTAAGTCAAAATCATTTAAAATAATTTCCGTAACTAGCAGATTTTTTGTTCTCTAGCAATGTCCGCAAACTCGAGACGGCGCATTGAACGTGCACCTTATTCCTCATTCGCATATGGACGCGGGCTGGGTTAAGACTTATGATGAATATTACTATGGAAGTAAGTAACAAATAAAAAACCCTTCATTTATAATGCGTAAAGGAATCTAATAAGAGAAATAACATTAATATTTAAGCAATTACTCAAGCTTAAATAATTGTGATTTTTATTTTAGCGCGGACATCCGTGAGCACGGCGAATGTTCAGCTGATATACCATTCCGTTCTGTCAGAGTTACTTCATGATAAGCGAAGGAAGTAAGTTCTTTTCAACACATTTTTACTGACTTTACAAATGTGACGAATAAATGACGACTATCAGATATCGCTGCGTTTTGAATTAAAAGTTAATTACTCTTTCGGGAAAGTAAGAAAAATGTATAATTTTTTCCAGAAACCTAAATGATTAATTCTTAGAGAACTGTGTTGAATCAATAAGTAATTAGTTCTCCCTATTATGTTGTTAATGAAAGCAAACGAAGTATATGACCAACTTCAATCCAAACGAAATACTCGAAGAATTATAAGAAAATCGTGCTGGAACGTTTACTCTCTTTTTTACTTTAAGTTTGCTTAAGCTATCTGATTTTCCAGGTTCACTTTCTCTGAGACGGTGTACTTCTGGCGTTGGTGGAAGGAGCAGCGGCCGGCGACGCGGGCTACCTTCCGCGCACTAGTAGCGGAGGGCCGCGTCGAGTTCGCAGGCGGCGGCTGGGTGCAGAACGACGAGGCTACCACTGACTACCTTCAGATCATCGACCAGTATACTTGGGGACTCAGGTCAGTGATACTCACGACATAGTGGTACGTGGGCAGTTAGGATTACTTGGTCTTTTAATCGTAGTCTTGGATAGGTTCATACTATTTAACGATCATTTTAGGAAGCTAAACGACACGCTAGGGCCATGCGGCAAGCCGAAGGCAGCATGGCAAGTCGATACGTACGGACACACGCGCGAGCAGGCCTCACTCATGGCGCAGATGGGATACGATGGCCTATTTATTGGTATGCATTAGATAAAAAACTGAGCATTTTCACTCATCAAACTAAGGCTTATAGGAGGACAACTTGGGAAACTTTTTAGGGATTTCAGGTCTCGTATCAAAATTGTTTATTGCAATTTCAGGACGTGTAGATCATAAAGAAAGAGAATCAATGATAGAAGAAGACAGAATGGAGTTTATGTGGAGAGGAAGCAATGTTCTAGGTATGTAAACATTTTTTTTCTTCAAGTCATCTCAATACCTCGGGTATATTGTAAAGTAGTATTTATTGTATATCAGGCAAGATGTCGGATATAATGACGCACAATCTGTTCAACCTATACAACGCTCCCGATGGTTTCTGTTTCGACTTCCTCTGCAGCGATGAGCCCATCATTGACGACCCTGACAGCCACGTCTACAACGCCGACGCCAGGGTAAGAAGTTATTAAGTAAGAAAGAATAAAACTAGATACTTTTGTGTTATATCTGTCGTTTCTATTCTTCTTTTTGTGACAGAAGTTACAAATAAGGTTGGTGAACATAAACACAGACTTTCGAATAGTTATTAGTTAAATACTTGCTTAGTTACTATTTATCTTGATATAAATAAAAGTGTAATGAATCACAAAATAAAGCGTTACGTATAAAGCCGAATTGGAATGACAATGTTACTTATTATTTTAAACCTTCCAAACGCAAATAATTCCATTACTTTATGTGGAAAAGACAATAAAGAGAAAACAAACATTAATTATATCAGGTCGAAGGAAAAACAATAATATTTTACCATGACCTAGATTTTCCGTGAAATTATTTCTTCAAACAACTTAATACAAAACAAAAAGATATTAAATCATTTCGAATTAACCAATTTCTTTAAAAATCGCGAGAAATCCTGATTTAATTACTCAATTATTATAAATAACCAACTAAAATATTTAATTACTATATTACTGTTTAAAGTTACAATTTTAAATAAGCATTGTTTCATCAAAGGTCTACAAAAAATCTAGAATTATAATAATATCCCACACCCATAACCCAGAGGTGTAGGCAGAGACCACTGACCCCCTTATGGCGTGAACCTGACACACCTCTCACTTCTTTTACATTACATCTTACTGATTATAAATGCGAAAGTTTAGATGGATGGATGTTTGTTAGAGTTTGTAGCCTAAACTGCTGAACGGATCTCAATGAAATTGTCCATAGATGTAGAGTCATTTTAGTTTTTTTTTAAGATAAAATAAAAATAATTGAACGTTATACCTTTGCTTTTAATATTAACTAATTATCTGTTCAGGTGAACGACTTCATAGCGCAGATAGAGCGTCAGGCGAAGTATTACGACCACGACAATATAATGGTGACGATGGGCGGAGACTTCACCTACCAGAGCGCCGCCAACTGGTTCATGAACATCGACAAACTTATCAAGTAACGTTTACAATGCGAAAGTTTAGATGTACAGATGTTTATTGGAGTTTGTAGCCTAAAATGCTGAACGGATCTCGATGAAAGATAGTTTGAAAGAGCACATAGACTACTTGCTTTTGTTTTTTTTAATTCCACAGCCGGAATCGTAGGCGGAAGCTAGTCATAAATAAAACAAACATTGTAACACGTCGGGAAGAATTCTCTGATTGGAACAGATAACAGTTATATATGAAGTGTTTGTAAAATTATATATGATTTCAGCCACGTGACCACTCATCCCGCAAACCTGTCCGACGTCAATGTGTTCTACTCCACCCCTTCCTGTTATCTGAAGGCTATATACATGTACGGCAGGCGAGACAAGTCGGTCTTTACGGAGAAGGTAGTGTCACTGATACTAAAACTAAGACGCGCTCACCTTGGACCAAACTATCACACGACTGTTGTGCGATAGTTTAGTCATAGGTCTTAAGCTCTTAAGAGTCAATAATAAATTAATATGATTTGATTTTACAGAGCGACTACTTACCATATGGCAGTGACTCTACCACCTACTGGACTGGCTTCTACACTTCGCGACCAAGTCTGAAATATCTCGCGAGGAAATCTCACATCTTCCTACAGGTACTTTATAGGTTTTTAATTGTAGAGGTCAAGTCAAGTATTTTTTTTTGTCGGTGTTCCCGCAACTCTTTAGTTGTCTTTTAATGCAGTTGTCAAGTGTGAACGTATCTTTACTCTGTGTGTTATCAGGTTGTGAAGCAGTTGACAGTGATATCTCGTATGGGCGACTCTTATGAGTTGCATCTTCTGCGCCACGCTGTTAGCCTGCTGCTGCACCATGATGCTATCACAGGTTTAGACATCATGCTTACTTATTTTTAGAGCAAAACGAGACTAAAAAGTCGTGCGATATTTTAGTTTCACGTGTGCGCGCGCGACATCCGACATCATGAACTCTGATCAATTGTTTTTCTCCTGTCTCCAGGCACCAGTCAACAGCATGTAACGTTGGACTTCATACGAACATTGACCGATGCCGTTGAGTCTTGCTCTAAGAAAGTTTCCCAATATCTCAGGTACACCATTTCACTAGGTTACAAAAGACAAGGTAGTAAAAAGAACTTTGTGTAATTAATGTAAAAAACTTACTTATTCGACTCCTCAGTTCACTGACCCCAACTTGGGGAGGCAGCCGGCGCTCCAAAAACAACCAGCAGTTCATCATCTGTCACCAGCTCAACATGAGCCAATGCAGGGTCAGTTCTGTGTATTGTTACAACTAGAAAATTATTATTTTGTTAATTAAAAGGTGTTTATCTAAGTTTATGTGTGTTCAGTTCTCCGAGAGTCAGGACACGATGCTGCTGCTGGTTTACAACCCTTCCAGCATCAAGACGTACTACCATGTACGCTTGCCTGCCATCGCTATGCACTACTCTATCCGGGACTACAATGGTAAGCAGAACCTCACCAACAGCAAACCAACCAACTATATTCTTCTTGCATCAATATGTTACTCCTTCTACCATTTTCATAGTTAATTGTCATTGTAGTTTATAACACATTTCGTTGTTTGCTTCGTTTGTAGGTTAAATTATAATAAGATCCTTTCTCTGTTTGAAAGCAGAAGACGAGGAAAGATGTAAAAATACATAAGACTGTTGCAGATGAGGAAGTGGAATACCAGCTAATCCCGCTGCCCGCGTCCGTCATCAACCTGCCGGGGCGCAGCTCCAGCGCTATCCAGGAGCTGTGCTTCGAGGCGGAGAATATACCGCCACTCGGCTACACAGCCTACTACCTCGCACCCATCAGGGATCCATTGGTAAACCTGCGTACAAGTGTGACAAATACCTTAGAAATGAAGAGGTCTGTTAGCTTTGAGGTTGTATTCAAATTTTTAAAAGAAGGCAGACTAGTTCCCTTGTTACTTTTAAAATGTTACTGGTTTAAATCTTTTTGTAACGTAAGCTATAAAACGAGATTATGAGACTTAATACTAATTCGATTGCAGATTCGCTTCACTTCCCAAATGACTAATACTTTTTTTCTCCATTTGTTACAATGGTTCAGTAAAACAACGACTCAAAAAATCTGTCAATGATTAAACCAATTTCCAGGTTATGATGAAATATTTAGTCTAGATAACAATGGATGACCTATTTAGTGAAACAAGAAATCTGTATTTGAATTTCCTGATTTTTTTTTTCAAGAGCATAGACTGAACTCGTTTGCCATATTTAAATATTAATCAATAGTCAGTTTTACAATATGTGAATTGGTGTAGGAAGTTGTTCTCCGTTTTTGTTTTCAGGAAGAATCTACTTTCGTAAAGAAGTCCCACCATGGCCCTGAAGCTGATCAAGAATTGACACCTAATATATCTAATGAGGTGGATCTGAATTATTTATTTAATTATTATAATTTTTACACATACACATCCATCATTTTATTTATTACTCTTTCCAGTATTTAAAAGTAACGATAGACAAGGAGACGGGCCTGCTGGAGTCCATCCAGCACGTGGACGGCGTGAAGGTGCAGATCTCCCAGAACTTCTACTACTACAGCCAGGTGCAGCAGCCGCTGCAATCCGGCGCGTATAGCTTCCGGCCTTCTAGGAACCGGCCCACACCCGTAAGCCCACAAAGAACATAGAATTAGAGCGGGGGCACACCTTTTACCAAACTATCTATCGCACACGATTGTCAATTGTTTCGCAGCTAATTCAACTGTTTAGTTGGACAACTATCAATCGAGTAGCCTCACCTCCATATAAGTTCATAGGAATCAAAGTGCGACTAAACAGTTATGCGATAGTTTAGACAAAGGGAGGGGGGCGCTCTTATTATACACGTATCATCCACAATGCCTAATAAAAAATATTTGATCCTGGTATTCTCAAAGTTTTTATTCTCCGCTTTGTGTGCACCACTTATAAATGCGGACAGTAAAACGGCTTAATGGAGAAATCCATTGGGAAAGTCCAGTTCAGCTCCGGTCCGGTACTATGATTTTCCTGTAGGTTGCAGAGAAAGTGATCTACCACGCGGTCCGAGGGTCACTGATCAAGGAGATACGTCAGAGGTTCAGCGACTGGGTGACACAGGTCATCCGGCTGTACAGGGGCGAGGAGTTTATTGAGCTGGAATGGATCATCGGACCAATACCGGTTGGGTTAGTACAAAAATAACTACAGATTAAACAACTCAGCAGGATATCCGTGAAGTGTGTCAAAAATCTAGATGCGGTAGAAGTAAATAGCTGTTATTTTAATTTGCAGGAACGACCTCGGCAAGGAAGTGGTGAGCATCCTAAAGACGAACATTAGCAACAGCGGCGAGTTCTACACGGATGCCAACAGCCGACAGATGATGAAGCGAAACTGCTGGAATGAGAGCACTAGTAAGTTGGTAAAATGTCTTGATATAACATAAATGGCTTCATCACACGAATTTAAAACAACGATAGACACTATACCACTGCCACTTCTAGTGCTGTATGGACAGTGCTTCTCTAAGAGCATGTGCACACCTGAAACTAAACTATCGCACAACTATTTAGTCGCGCTTTGATTCCTTTGATGTGCGCACACTACTCGATGTTTAGCTGTGCAACGAAACATTTTAATTGCCTGAAAAACAATCGACAATAGCACAACAGTTATGCGAGAGTTTAGTCAATAGTGTGCGCTCGCTCTTAGTGTTCTTACATTGGTGTTGCAGGTCACCAGGTGAAGAAGCCGGTGGCGGCGTGCTACTACCCGGTGACGTCACGCATTTGCGTACGTGCCAACAACGCCAGCGTGGAACTCTGCGTGCTGACAGACCGCGCGCAGGGCGGCACCTCCTACAGCGAGGGCGAGATTGAGCTTATGGTAACAACAAAATCGATCAATGTTGTACTAATTTTGCTAATAGTCACTATCCTTACTATCAATCAATATTTGTGTTTTTTCCAGGTTCATAGAAGACTTCTCACCGACGATGGCTTTGGCCTAGAAGAGACTCTGAACGAGGAAGCTTACGGAGTAGGGCTGGTGGTAAAGGGGAAGCACAGGATCATGTTCGGCAACTATCGCCAAGAAAGTAAGTTTTACAAAGATTATAGCGACTTATAAAAAGGTTTTACTACAAGTCAAATTTCAATGTTTCTTAGTGGACGAGCAAACATTCTCGGAGCGCGTGTCGTACACGGCTCGAAAGTGGCTGATGGAACCCTGGCTTTTCTTGGCTCCCGGGGAGAAGATCAATAGAAGAAAATGGCAGAACGTCAGGAATAAAAGAGTACGTTCCTTATAATGTACCCTTTGTCTCACAAAGTACCAAACCGAACTCGAAGATCATGAAAGAATTACGAATATAAACTTTGCAGTACTCAGCGGTCCGGCTGCATGGTCTACCACGCCACATACATATCATCACGCTGGAGCCCTGGAAGGCAGGCTCCGTGTTGCTTCGACTTGAGAACACACTCGAAAATTCTGACAAAGGTATTGGATCATAACCGTTGAGTTCCAACATAGATTACCTTCTGTGCAAAATTGTAAATGCGTTGTAAGAAAGTAAGAAGTATTCCTATGTACGAGTATTGACTACTTCTGTAATTACAATTGTTTGTTATAGAGATATTCAAAATGGAGAAGGACACGACGGACGAGAGTCCGCGGACAACACACATTGTGGTGGATCTGCGAAAGATCTTTGGGCAGCATGAAGTACGCATGGTTCGAGAGACCACACTCGCCGCCAACCAGTGGCTGGAAGAGGCGCGACAGATGGACTGGAGCACCAGGTTACACTAGTTACAATAACAATAAGAATTAATAGAAAACAAGACGACTGTCCTCCATAGTCCAGGTTTTAATAAGACCGTTTGTTCTTTCAGATATGTGTATTCAGGTGGAGACGATGGTATCCTGCCTGAGGACAACGTCGACTACACCGACGATAAACTAGAACGCACTGAGAGAAAAGACTCGGGTACCATACTTTGTCCAATATATTGTATTATAACTCCTAAGTACTAGTTTATATTACTCTCAGTCATATTCTTTCTTTCAGAGTTTACCCAAGAAGATACATATTTCGTAAGAAAACAACCGCGCAAGAAGATAAATGTTACACCAAAGCAGAAAACATATAAATCCAGATATAAATACGAAGATCGACGCAAGAGGTCGCTGAATATCACTGAAAATATGATCGATATAGTAAACGAAGCCAATGCATCTGATCCTAATGCGTTTACCACTCATGTTGAAACAACAACGAAACCATACAACGAAACAACATTATATGATGAAGTAGAAACAAAAAATAACTCAATAATACCAACAGACTTCAGACATATTGCATTTGCACCTAAAACAGATCTGAGCGGGGACCTTCTAAGAACTAGATTTCGAGCGGACTCTAAAAAATCTCCTCAAATAAACTACAACCGAAGTAGAGTGAAACCGATGAAATTCTTCGTGGAGTGGGGCAACTGTTCTGAAGAGGTTGGCTCCACGGAAGATGAGGATTTCTCATCTAATTTGAAAAAAAGATCTGCGAGGAGAAGAAATGGAAGTCACAGTGTGAAAAGTAACAGACGTAATGGCGGTATGAAAGAAACTTGTCTTTTCTTAAGTAGTATAGACACTAATACAAACTAATAATAACATTTTTGAACCACTGCAATGAAAATAATAAAATTAAACAAATTTTCAGAATACTTCTCCAATGAACCCGACGACGGCATAACGCGGTCGATGTACGAAATGTACTACAAAATGAAACCAGCCAACACTCTGAAGCCGCGACCTGAACCACAGACCCCAGCGCCTAGACGATTCAAGAAGATCAAGGGAAAGAAGATAAGAATAGAAAAGCACGAAGAGTTATCAAGAATAGAACGGACGACAAGGAAATCTAGAAGGAATAGAAATAAAAGAAAAGGGAAGACTTACGCTACTACAAGTATCCCATTGGAGGTTTATAAAAAGAGGATCACAAGAGAAAAGCAACGTCAGAGTGCAGAAAGTGGACAAGATAATGATAGTGAAGTGGACAACACGAAAACTTTTTCGCAATTACGTAAAGGTATGTTTTACATTATTGGTTATACAACCGACATTTACATTTTTAATATTTTTAAGCTATAAAGGAAATTTTGAACCTTTTAGAGTTCATCCATAACTATCCGTTCCTTGATTTTTAGCTCAATTCACTCACATGGCGCCCAAGACGGAGCTGGCACATCTCAGAGCGAAGCGACGTAAGGAAGCTATGAGGAGTTACCAGGACTACGAGGCTGATACGTCAGATGGCGCTGAGGAGGAGAGTCGAGAGGAAGGGGAAAAGTGGGAAAATACCAGGAGAAAGAGGTACTGCCAACTGTGGTCTAGGATCTAGAAAGTTTCAGTAACCCGAAAATTCTTAATTCGATAATATCCAGTGTGTAAACAACTAAAAAAATCTATTGTATTAGTTAAGAAATAATGTGACATTTTGTTTTTAGTGTGTTTTTTTAATTGTATGCAACAAAAAACTCCGTTGAAATAAGGGTTCATAAATAACTTCTAGGACGGCGAGCAAAGATGAGGAAATGGCTGAAAGCAGTTCTGACTCTCAGGAGAGCAACGAGTCGGAGTTCGTGGTAACACTCCGACCCTCGCAGATACGGACCTTCGTCGTATGGTTCGTCGACAATCGCAAGACTTACACATTGTAATACAAAGATCATTTTAAATAGTGTTAAGTATAAATAAATTTGGATGTTATTGTGTTTTTATATTTGACGTTTATTTACGTTACCCCCCCCCCCCCC